GAGAGAGAGAGAGAGAGAGAGAGAGAGAGAGAGAGAGAGAGAGAGAGAGAGATGTTCAGGACGGATGTTTCCTCGGTGTGCAGCAGAGGCACCGCCGTGCGTCTTTACGCACAGAGACCACCCAGTCCTCATCCCACCGCTTCTCTCTTCCTCTTGTCTTATGTCCCAGCCTCACCTGCTAAACCACGGCGGAGGACAGCGGAGCTCCTCAGCGGGCGCCTTGCTGACTGACACGCGAAGGGACGAACATCAGAACGTTCCCACCATGACGGATCTCCGGGCGGAGTAACTCACCGCAGCTACCCAGGAGCAGACCGCAGGAGAGGGCAGAGATCACTACCATGACCCGATAAAAGTCTCCGCTTCCTTCGGAGAGAGGACAGTCCACCTCCTGAGAGTAAAGGAGACGCGCAGCGAGGCCTTTTGATTTGGTTGTTTCGGTTCTCAGATGGCCCGAGTGCCCTTGGCACTGGCTGCTAAGATGCGCTGGATCACGCTGGTGCTCGCGGGCTTGACTTTCTGGGGCAAAGTTACAATTTCTAACTGCTTCGACTACGAGGAGCCAGACTTTGATTATTATGAGGAGGAGAGAGTGGAGACGATTGACTACAAGGATCCGTGCAAAGCTGGTGAGTCACGTTTTCACTTCAGTTTCCAAAATAAACCCCAGTAGTGATGTCGCTTCTGCGTCTGCTCACACTGACACATCTGGCTCCGATGAGGCACGTGTGGATGAGTGATGACAGCGCGCGCGCGCGCACTGGTCCAGAGCCCCGCTCCACTTCRTTACAGAGACAAGTCCGTGTTTGTGGTGATCCCGCAGATGGACGCCACGTGCAACTCAGTGAAGCTCGCGTTAAGCCGGGTTTAGGTTGCACCGTTCACGCGCGTGCAGCGCGTGCATCACTTGCATGAATTGGTAGCTGCTCGTGCCGGTCTGACAAGAGCAACTGATTGTGTGCAGATGTTCAATCAGACATGAGTGGAGATGAAAATCAGTAGGAATGAAGGGCATAATCTCTCTCTCTCTCTCTCTGTCTGGCTCTCACTCACGCGCGCGCACACAGAGAGAGATAAATGATGTTAAAACACTGGTATATGAGCAGTATGTTTGATCTAAAGCCACAATAAGTGTTTACATTTAATAACACATAATTAAGATGTACAAATAAAGCAGTACAAGTTTTGTTTTTGCTCATCAAATAAATTTGTGAATCAGGTGAGTATTTTAGGGCATTACCATTACATTTTCTGAAACAAAGCTTAAAGATTTATTTTATATGTCCATAATAATATATTATAATAATATTGTTTGTGTCTTTACATTTTCACTTCTGATTTTGACAGAATACAAAAGGTTCAGTAACACTATGTGGGAAAAGTAGGGTTTTTTGTTACATTTTGAAGGAATACCCTAAWGCTAATAATGATCAGTTTGTGTGATTAGTTTGTTTTCCCCTTAAAAAAAATGAGTTGTTAGAAAAAAACAGAAATCTCAGCTTCCATCGATTGCTTGATTCTGATTAATTTTTTTCTAATCCTTTAGTTTTTGTGTCCTTTTTTGATATTTGACACTTGAGCAGACARCACCAGCAGTCATTTGAATATCTGACTATTATTTGTGATGAGAAYGCTTTTTGTGATTCAAAGACAGTGAAAAACCCTGTTAAATGTTGCTGAGTCTGCAGAAAAATAAAAGCGCTCAGGTCAGCAGCATCATCATGAAAATCTTTCTAAGTATTGATCACATCCATCACAGATGATTGTTTTTGTTCACAAAGCTTTGAGCTAAATGATTTTCCAGTGGCTTTTTAAACTTTTTCTTATAAATCTCTGGTCTTCCGAAAGAGTTTGTCAGGACCGAACACCTAAAGAGAAGTTTTAACTGCATTTTAATCCATCAACATTTACATTCCTCTGGAGAAGAATGCAAAACTCTCCTCTCCTCTGTGCTGAGTTGTTTGAGTGTTGTTGTAACTCAAACTCACACATCCAACTGATAAAAACTTGTCCTAAAGCTGGGTACCTGGCATGCATTCCCCAGTTCCCACATACCAAATTAAAAATAAAAAATAAAATTAACAACCATGGATCCTGGCCAGTGAGCAACTTCTTCTGGTCTGTATGTAGGTGACTTGATGCTGATACATAACTCTGTGGCTTGTGCTAAAAACACACGGTGTGTGTGTGTGTGTGTGTGTGTGTGTGTGTGTGTGTGTGTGTGTGTGTGTGTGT